GGCAGCGAGGTATTCTTCATAAAGGTTGAGTTCATCTTGGTATGCTTAAGAAAAACACTGTATCACCCTTCAGAATCGAACGCCTTTTATACGACAAGATCTGAGAACCAGCAGACCATCCCACCAATCCCAACCTCTTAAAACACGAGGGGAGGGGTGAAGGGGTGAGGTCTGTACTTAATTACCTATTCCGCAAAACATTCGCTCACATTCCTTTTTACTGAGTGATTCGTTACAAAACAACCTTTCACACCGAGGCATTTTAAAGTTTCTATACAAAAATCTAACTTTTCTGTCATTATATCTAAAATCATTCTGTGAAAAATAAAAGCGCAGAAAATTAACAATATAATCTATTCCATGCAAATTAATATGGTACATGATAAAGATCGCATAGGCACCACATGTTAAACTATCAATGCTTTGCAAATGTCTACCAATGTCAAGGAAGCTCTTATCATAATACTGGTCGATAAATCTTTGCAACCAAGGAGAATAAATATGAGGCTTGATTCCGTAGGAATCAAAGTAGGCAATACAATATTTCCCAACAACTACTAATACATAATGACCCATTAATGTTGGTCTGTGCCGAGAGGTAAGTATGTTAACCACAAAAAAATTCATTATATGTTGTACGATCTTTTCTAATGGGCAGTTGATCGGCCAAGAAACACCCTCGCAACACATATCCACCTCTGAGAAACTGTCTACAAACGTCTGCAACCTCACCACAATTCATTATGCGCGAATATCTGTAACTACCCTCGATCACTATCAACATACATCACACCCTGTGTATCGCCTACCAAAAATAAAACAATGTTCGAGTCGTGAGGTTGTGACAATTCAACGGCAATCCTAAGGCTTCCAGAGTTTTCAATAGCAATTGCGTCTTGTAGCTTTTCTGGTTGCAAATCCAAAACTGCTACCATTTTTCCATTCACAAATCCATCTCTGTCGAGTGAATGTTCTTTTTCCAACCCCAACGCATTCAGCGAGTGATAATACAAATCTGAGCAACGACTCGGAAAACTCGTACTTATATTGTACACAGAGTTGTTATTAACAATAACCGAAAGCTTGCTCAAATGATTATGACCAAAGTGCAATGGATTTTCGCTGTAATTTCCTGCATATGCTTCATGTCCACCATAAAAGAGCTAACTTTTCGGGAATCGTTGATCCCCAGGGCATATCAATGCTCAGCTGGGTTTGGTTACTTGCCATGACATAAGTTTTGTATAGCGTTTTATTGAATATATAGCTAAGAGACTACGAAGCAAAGATTTGTTAAGAGCCTCCCTTGCTGAATCCCGGGGTTTTAGTGTGGTTAAATGCAATTTACAAGTTTCTATCTCCACCTTAGGATTCGAACTACTCGCTTCCGGTTCGGCGTTAATAACAAACTTGTCAGAGGCAAATTCCAGTCGTATTCTCATAGACACATTGTCTAAAAGATACATATCCATTGATGCTATATCTAACAATAACGGAGCCATAAAATGAAATCCGTGAGTCTTAACCTCGCTCATAGCAGATTTCTCTTGCGTGCTAGCATTCGTAAATATTTCTTTATTGTAGGTCCTCGGTATGCTAGAACTATCATAATAATACATATTTCTTCCTAAAGTTTTTTTCAGCGAAGGAGACATACCCGTTTCTAAGCGAACATAGGACGAAAAGTTATACAGAGGATTTTGTTCTACTTGTTTGACCGTTAAAATAAACCGACACAGATTTAATTAGCGAGTGCATAGCAGAGTTGCACAACACAGCATGATCAGCTTCACCCAGCGAGGCGCCATCTCCTTTCTTCAGATTACCCTTAATCTCCAGAACCAATCTTGACAGGTCAATATAACAATTCTGCCCGGCAGGCCATCTAAATTCTGCATAATTATCTGTAACAGACCCATTTATCCCTGCATTAAAAGGCAGGACGTCGACTTCACATCTGTCTTCAATCCCTAATTCGACCGTAGCCTATTCGACCTGGGAAACATATCGCTTACCCCGGCCACATAAGACGATAATGGCGTCTTGTACTGATTCATGATTGATAATATGAATAACAATAACAATAATAATATCACAATCTGTATCTCTATATTATTATTGCGCACAGCGGCAAGGCGAGACCGTAACTGACTAAGCCAAAGAAAAAACATCTTTTTTAGGTTGAACAACTTGGTCGAATCGTTAATCTTTCACTCTTTTCGTTTTCTACGCACCCCTCCTCCTCCCCCCCTCTCATTGCTCTCGCGCCAATGTGTTTGACAGCCTCCACTCCTCTCTTTTTCATAGAAGACTCAAGTTAGTATTCCCCTGTCATATCATCAATAACACCAGATCCAAAATCGAGTAATGCTGGTTTTAACAAGCTTAGAAACAAATGGAATTAATCTCTTGCCAATATTTCGAGAAAAGATAATAATCCGGCGCCTCTTCTGTAATGGTCATAAGACTTATATACGCTAATGTCCCCCGCCCCCTCCTCGAAACTGTTTAATCTGCGATTCCGGTTGTTCAAATATTACCATGAATTCCTCGGTGGTGGGGGGACAAAGGGTGCTCTTACATACATGGCGGAAATCAAAATGGTGTCTATCTTCGATATGCATAAAGCAAACACACCAGGACGACGTTCTAATGTAAAATAAGCAAAGATATGCATGTGCTGTCTTTATATACGGGCAGACTTTACCGAGATCTTGTGCAATATAAGCGTAATAGAACGTCCTTCCTCGAAAACTATTGGATAACCATTCTGATCTGTAATGCGCACCCCCACAGAATTTAATGTCTTATTTAAGAGCTGTTTATAAAGCGTGGGTGTATACCCCTTTGTACTCGAACCTTGCAAAGCAAATGCGTCTAAGATGTTTACCTGCTGTCCTGCAAATCGACAAGGAACAACAATGTCTGAATACACATAAATAAAGTCCACACCGCCATCGTTTCTCGGAGGCCTCATACTTACATTCTGATTATATAATAACCATTTATAATCAACAGACACTGTGCGAGGTACATAATAGCGATATATTTTTTTTCGCTAAACCCTAATATGTGCGCCAGACGAGGCGAGAAGCGAACAGCCATATCGGGATGACAGCGTGCTTCCCTCCCATCGCCAACCGCGTGAACGATAATTTCTACGCGAACGCGCTCTGTTTCCCAGTCATAGATAAGAAGTCTCCCCTGTGGCATATATTTTTGAATTGCATCCACGCCTAATATCGGTGCAATTTGTTCCGTTATATCTTTATTAATCATATCTATCATAATTTTTGGTTCTCTCGCATGACCTAGCATGCTAAATTTCGGGACGTACTTAAACATGTCAATCATAATTGGGTGAGCACTGTTATCACAAACACTAAAACTGAATACTAAAATCATTATCATTTGCTATGATGCTGTAGTAATTTTTGGGATGCAAAAAATTAACCAGCGCCACCTCATAATCCATGGAAGGATCCAACATTAGCGGCGAAATGACGTTTTCAAACGCATAAAGTGTTGTTGAAAACATCTTTCGATGCAGTACTGGTAATATATATGTACTGATTGTCAGTCTCCATGGTGGAAGTTGATGACAGACTGAGAGTTGCATCAATAATTTCACCCTTTATAACAAAGATGTAAAGGATAATAAGACTTAAGGAGTAATTCATAACCTTATTTTATTAAAGATATATATATATATATATAAATCAAACAAGTACAAATGCTACTGGAGAACATGAGATATTAATGATCATTTCCAGCTGCCTCGGTAGCTTCGATGTCCGCCGCTGTTCGCAGGTAATTTCACCGTCCTCCGCATCATCATCTTCATTATACCTGGGTCGTTTGTTTCTAATGTCGGCTCAGGCAAAAGGAGAGGACTCGCGCACAGCAGCGAAACAGATATCTTCAAAGGCATACACCGCGCTGCAAAGTTGTAAAAGCTCAATGTATGCATGGCTCCAACTGCCTCCTTCCACTTCAACTGGAAATAAGATCTCCCCAATATTCAACTCTTGAAGCTGATTAAACAATGAATCGAGACATTCACCCAATTTCTTAGTCGGTTTTCCGATCCGTCACACGCCAATCCATCAATAATGTCTATCCATACTCGACTTTAATTGTTTCATGGCAATTTCATTATTTTCCAGGGCTCTCCCGGGGACCAAAGTGGGCAACGAGATAGATAATTACAGGCCCATCTCCCTGTTTCACACTAACGACCCCGGTAGCACATCTGTCAGCTACAATAGCCCTTGAGGTAGAAAATAACCGCCTTTTTGATCTGTAGTAATCAGCATATGCATATTCTTTTTCCAATATGCCCGATGTAGCGTAAGCAGTCTTTCCACATGCATTAGCAATGACGCATACGGCGGTGTCTTTACACAACTCATGCTGGAGAATACCTCCTTTTCTAATCAACAGGGGGTATAGATAATTCGGGAGATAATCCTCGCGAGGTGACCTCGCACTGACAGAAGGGGCTTCCATTAGCGGTCGTTCTTCTTCCTCCATCTCTTCATTAATCATCTCTCTGTAGCGCCTGACAAATTGAGGAACGGCAACAACAGTAGCAGGGCGCTGACGTGGAGACACTTCCTCGGCCATCTTCTTGCGCAATCGAGGCAGTAGTATAACTCATCACCGCTCGTATCCTTTACCCATAGGTCCTGTCGTTACTCTTCATGCATGCAGCACCCCGCCCACTTAATGCGTTACAATCATCGTACACAATCGATAGCCCATTTCAAAAATAGACTGTTGAATAAAACTGGCGAGTCTGCGATATTTTGAAATCGTGCGTAATGCTTCTTCCTGCGGGGCATGCTTTAAATTTTCTACAGCATCATCAACTTCTTGCTGGTAGACTTGTTCAGAGTGGTTTGCAAGAAAGGCTCGGTATGTCTCCCACAATGACACAACAATATCGTGTTTGTACTGAGCTCGATAAAATTTTATCACCTCTCTTCGAAGCTCACTACCTAGAACTTTGAATTTTCTTCATCGTCGCTGCTGGTGTTGCTGTTGTTGGACGCACTGCTTGTGCTCGCGCGCGAGGACGCGTTGCTGAAGAGTTCTCCGTTCTCACTCATGTTTATGTCGTTATTGCGTCTTACATACACACGCTTCTGATTATAGAATCGCCGGTTTTATCCTCTCTCGAGGATAGGGGTTCCCGCATCTCTGTGCAGACATAAGGGCGGACATTGGCTTAACTTTACATTCCCACCTGCCTTATGAACACCTGTGAGATACCGCCTAGCTGCCGGACTGCGCATATAATCATATGGTAATGGCGCAAAGTTATGTAATATTTTCAAAAGTTCCTTTTCTTTTACAGAAAACGAGTGCGATGATGAGGATGCAAAATACTTGATAACATCGAGTATATTTAACCCTGTTATAGGAGATTGTATCTGACCTAATTCGTCCCACCGAATTAAAGACTGCTTACGGTAAAATTCCAAGAGAGATTTTGCATAATCTTGCTGATTTGTTTTGAAGAAAATTCCTACCAAGTGTTCTAATGAGGGATTTATCGGTGTATTCTGATTGTTGCCAGGGATTGCTTTTTCAAGCCTTTGCAGAGCTGCAGAGGGAAGGGGTACTGTCATTGCCTCATTAGCGGCGGAACGCCTGCATTTTCTCACATTCTTTTTGTTTATTTTCTTGCGAAAAGTAGAGCGCGGGATAATTAGCGAGCGCCCGAGCCCGCCCCGCGTCTATTTCCCGCGCAGACATCGCGACAACGCGTGCGCTCGCACCGCCGCGCCCGCCGCGCCCGCTGCACCCGCCGCCGCTATGACAGCTGTCGTTCGCGTGCCCCCCATTTATTGCGGTATTTTTAGCTGCCATGGCGATATCCGGAGGCGATTCTAATATGTTCTTGTTGACACCATCATTAATCTTGTTAGTATCATTACCGTTCGAGGTGAGGTCAGAGACCAGGTGGGTCAGATGTCGGTCGACCGTGGACTTTGGAACAAGACAATACTCTTTTCATATTTCTAATCAAATTAAAGATGTAAATGCATTTACAGCAAGCGGGAGTAGAATGGATAAAATATTTCCCCCGGTGCGAGATGAGAGAATTTTTTTCTTCTTTTTAAGAGACGTTTTCTTCAGAGACACTTCCTTGATAGCTTGCCGATATCGTTTCAATTTCTTAATAATACTTTTTTCCGTGGTTAAGTTTTTCCTTAAGAAATTTGAAAAAACTTCGGCAATGCAATTGATCTGCTGTTTATCCAGCTGTAATATAAAGCCGGAACGTCGTTTTGGCTTTAGTGAACAGATAAAAACGATAGTACATCAACAAATCGAGGTGTGAGGGGCTGCTTGTCATGGTGCAGGCTGCATGTCATCAATCGTAATGTATGAATTGAATTTGTCGGGATATCCAATCCAGCGAACAAGATATTCTCTCTGCTTTTTATTTCTGTTCCACCTCGATGACAGGATCTTGTACGGGTAAACACTTGGCAGTGATGTCGGGACGAGCTCCTCTCGATAAAACAAACCTTGACTTCTTCGCCGCTTAAATCTTCCAGATAATACCCGACTATGTTCTGACGATTGTCAATCTGTCGAATTTTAAATATCTCCTCCGTATTTTGTATTTCATATCCCTTGCGAAATGCGTCGGTACGAGAGCGCGCTGCGATGCGCACAGTGTCCCCAACCTTTATATTCTGATTGCTAGCATGCGATCGGTCCTTTTTTATATGCACATTCAATGAACGAGCATACATTTGTCGAAAGAGACGTTGACACTGCGCCCGCGTGTAATGGCGGTGCACGTCCAGTGGCGCGGCGCCTTTCAAACCCGCGTGCGCGCGCTCATTATAGGCTAAAACAATATCCGGGAGAACGTCGATATACCTCAGCGTATCTTTTAAGGTTAAATATTTATATATGCGTTCCTTGAGGGTTCTGATGTGTCTCTCTGCAATGCTAGCCTTTATTTCCTTCGAATGCGTGGTATACCACTGCATCTTATGTTCGCGCAGTAAGCCGTTCACTGTATTATTTACAAACTCTCGCCCTGCATCGGTGAAGAGGTGAGTTAAACCTTTAGCATCCTCAGTATTTAACACCGATTTTAGTGCGCTCGCAACCTCCGTCTTGTTTTTACTCTTTAAGGGTCTTACTTGCATATAACGACTAAACACATCTACACACACGAGCAAATAGTTGGTTTTATCGTTTTGTCTTGATAAGTTTCGCATGTCTGCCAGATCACACGTTAAGATTTGCGAGGTCCTATAGCCATTGTTTGGCGACGCGGGAATTTTTTGCGAGTATGTCTGTGAAGAGTATACACACGCTGTGATGACAAAGCATTTTTCACATCCGATTGTGTAATATTATCCTTTCCTAATTGCGTGCGAGCGGCGTCTAACAGCGCTTGTATTCCACCTAAGCTGTGGGGCTTTGTATAGTCTTCATACAAGTCCTTTAGAACTTGCATGGTTCTGTCGGTGATCACCATTGGTAGACAAGCTGATGTGGAAAATATTCACAGGATATTACTGCGAAACTGCAGTTTATCTGGAGTTTCACAACCGAGGTCTATGAGTAAATAACCGCGAGATTTCGAGAGAACAACCTTTTTATATAACTCCAAAAACCGCTTGGCTTCACTCTTGCCATATAACTGCCTACCGAGGCATTCTAACTGTCCGAGATCTCTCTGTTTTAGCAAAATAAAATGAGAGGTATTTAGTGAAATGTTGCGGCTGTGCTTCCCTTTCATAAATACATTTTGAACGAGGAGTACGACAGATATGTTTTCGTGTCGTCCCTTTGTAAAGATATTACTTACAATGTCATTATTAGCCGCTTCTATAAAGCAATCATCCAGTATATATAATATGCGGTCATTCGGTTTTGTCTTATGATTGATGGGATCTATAATGTCTTTGTTAACAATAAGTTTGTCAGATAAAGAGGTTTCCTTTTCTAGCGGATGAGATTCACTCCCGCATACAATTATACAATCAAACTGTTTCTGATAGTGCACAACAATTTTTGTGGCGAGATGCGTCTTTCCCGAATTAGTGACTCCTGCAATTATTATTCTTGCGGGGTGAGCAAAGAGATCCAGCAAGTTCTCCTTAAAACAGGAGTATGGAGTACTGTGCGACATGTTGAAGGACACAAATAAAAATGACACTTAAATTTTAGACATCGCCTATTTTATTGACTACAATATACAGAAAATATTATGTACATGTGTTAAGTATAGCCATTTTATTGACTACAATA